GAAAATACAAGGATGCATATTTTAAAACTTTTTGTTTCCTGGATCATCCCAAATCACAGGTTGCAGTCTCTTGGGGGAAAAGTGTCCCCCGGATCATCGACAAAACAGCAAGAACCATTTTAAAGTCTGCAGGAAGAAATAGGCATATATGCTAGACACAGCCTATACCAGCTGTCCCAATCTGGCATCATTTAGCTATGTTAAACTACAACTGTCACCATCCCAGCCAGTACTGCCAATGGGCAGACTTGCTGGAGACTATATAAGTTATATGTGCTAGTTCCTGAAGGAGCGCAATCAAGGAAGACCTGTTAGTACAGTCTGCTACAAGGAGAATTCTTCAAAGAAAAGAGTACATTCTAGAGAAACCATTCCTGCAATCCTGTACTTTCAATATGTTAAGACAATCCAACTCAATCATCAGCGCAGAAGATAAAGACTTATCTTTTCTTACTGTTATCAAACCATTGCACAACACAAGGACAAATTCCTTAAAGACCAATTGTTAATGTCCCAGTGCCACATTGCCAGATCTGCATTTAAATGTTCCATTGCCTTAAGCAAAATCAAATGAACTAAGAGAGCACCTCAGTTACCCAACCACAAAAGAGATTAGAAGCCCCACCTCTAAGGAAAATTTGACATATTATGGGGGCTACAGCTAATCCCCTTTTGGACAATTATATTTTTTTTTTGTTTCTTAACTCAAGATATACAGCAATCAACTGTATTCAATCTTTGGACCCTCATTTTGCACAAGTCCAATTAAGTTGGGAAAGCTGTAATTAACCATCATTTTGGAGAGAAGTTATGGTTACCAGCAGTGAACCAAGCCAAATTCTAAACCATGTTTCAGAACTGAATAATCATTTCCCAGCTTCAGATGAATCCAGAAATTATGTTTTTTATTTAATATAGTCTCCCTCATCTTTTCTCCAGGAGCTGAAGGAAACATACATAGTAGTTCCTTCTCCGATTACAGTAACTTTCAAGATATCAACCTAAAATAACAACTCCATTAGGTAGCTTGGATTGAGAGAAGAATGGATGCATCCATTCATGGTAGGTTTGTTTGGTTGTTTAATATCATGTGAACCATTTTGTGTGTAAAATTTGATGGCCAGGTGATAGACTATTCTGATGTCAAGAGTGATTATTCTGGAATGGGACATAATTCTAGGCTAGGTCCAGAACTTGATCTTGTCAAGTTCCTAACCACTGAGCATAATTAAGAAAACCAGATTCACACAGTCTCACTAATCAGGTTTATAATGCCAAGGGGGGAAAAGTTAGGTTACAGAATCTTAGTATACCTCAGCCCACGTTTATTTGTGAGTTCATTAAGGTGATTTTTCTATGAAATGATTGCTCCCCTTTTTCAGAAAACCCCTCCCCCGATGAATATTGATGCCTCCCTTAACAGATAAGACTGAAATGTCTCTGATCCTTGTCCACTGTTTTTTGAAGCCGTTGCGAGACACTAGCTGCTGTTACTGGACCACAGAGTTCTTCACATCTTTAGAGCGTGCATAGTTACTACATTTTGTAGGCCATGACTTAGAATGTCCATTAGCTTGTCCATTAATCCCTGTTGTTTATTGGCTTCTCCAATAAACTATGGCAGAAGACAGTGCATTAATCCTACCAGTAGCTCAAACCAATTTCCTTGTTCCACGCTCCATGCTCCACCAGGCTCATTAATTAGATTTTTGCAGAGGTTGTTCACAAACAGGCTGCTTGCACAGGTAAAAGGTTCTTTCATATCTTGGCCAATGTCCAATACCAGCAATCAGAGATAGAAGACTCCAAGGCAGACAACATTTTAGTGATGCATCTGCCCCCTTTGCTTCATCTTTTCCTGACTTCGCCTCGTATTTTATATGCAGACGCCTATTTGACACATCTCAGAACTGTCTGATCTCTGCACGGATTTCAGAGGAAGCCAATCCTTCGTGGTTCTGCAATGAGGGAAAAGGAGAAATTCTCCATCATCTTCTTCAGAGCGCTCACAGCTGCACTTTATTACATGTATAGGCAGCTGCACTTTCAGAAGACTGCTTCCATTTTAGTAACGTTACAGCTATGATTTTAATGCCAGTTGTAAGGCTGAAGCTTTCTACAGCTCATCACTCCATAGAGATAAGAGAAGATAATGACTTCCCTACTGCTGGTAACAACCAGTTATGTCAGGAAGCATAAAGGACAGAACTGCTCCTCTCTGGATCATGAGAAGGTTGTTTTCAACCCTGCTGGCGGTCAATCCTTTCCTTCAGCCATCTTAGTCTAGCATCAATTACTAGCTTCTGAGGAGGAACTTGGAGATCTGCCAAAGCCTAAGCCTTTGAAGGAACGTAAGTTATCTTTTTCAATTGCAAGGAGCAAATTCGGGAATTGGAATGGCTACGGACATATTTCTGCAGCATAGTTTCAAATCTATTTCTATTTCTTTCAAATGCCTGTTACAATAGGAGGAGCAGGAATCAGAAAATGAAAGCTAAAATGAGCCTTATGCCCGTTCGCGATGATATGTGTCAGCAGTTCAACTAGAGTGGGATAAGACCACCTCCTGGCTTTAGGAGGACAACTTGGAAATAGCTGTGGAAATAATTATGATAAAAGGGTTGGCCGTGATTATAAAAAGGATATGTTGTTTTGTTTTCTGTACGAAGCGATTAAGGTTGTTTTCAGAGCAAGGGATGAAAAATGACGAGATAGCTAATTCAGAGGCTTTGTAAGAGCAATGGAATTGTATCCTGGCAGCTTCTCATTGGCCTTTCCCCCACCCCCGGCAACCTAATACAGCAAAACACATGCAATGTGATGGGTAGAAGAACCATAACTCAAGCATCTCTCTCTTAAAAAGATGCCCAGAAGCAAATGTTTTAGCACCAACCACACAGTTTTGAGCAATCCTACAACCATGCATCTGGGGATTGTTCCAACTCCTGTGACAAGTCTTCCATGGTTCTGTGGCAATACTGCATTGCATTTTGAGAACAGAGGTTTATACGTATTTCAAAGGAAAGAAGAAAAACTTACAGATGCAACAGAATCAACAGCTTCCTTTAGCAGCAGATTGTCCTTCCTACCTGCTACTCAAAGTGTTTGTCCTGATAAAACTGAACTCTTCAGAGGAACTAACGGTAATATTGAAAATGGAAACCATCACACAATGATAATAAGATTGCAACTTCCAGGTTTGTCAACACATACAGAATACTATGGCATCTAACTAGCTTATTATGCCTGGTTTGAGATTGCCCGGTGCACTACTCCTTTGGTGCATTTTCTAATGCTGCACATAAACAGAGAAAGACATATCCTCAGAGGGAAACTAGCACTAGGGTCCACAAAATGCAGGCACTGATAACATTATACAACCTAACACCAGAAATGTGGATACACATTAAATATACTATGAGGAGCCATTTCCTCCCTTATGGAAGGCAGAACTACAGTATAAAAATATACAGTACTTTGGCACCAAAGTCATTTGTCTTTCAGAAACTTTAAAAAAAAATGCATGTGGGTATAGAAAACGAAACATATTAAATTCTCCAGTAAGAAATAAACACGCCTCCCACTTTCTGATGCTCTTAATAATAGTATATAGATTACTAACAAAAATTTGCAATACTAATCCTTTATACAATCAGAACTCTTCTTACAAAAGGGAATAACTGAGTATTCTCAATGATTTGGTTCACACTGTTAGTTCTAATGTGCCCTGCTTACTTTTGGCTTTATGGACCCAGCCAATGAGATATAAACTCTGTTCAACTAATTACCTCCATAAATTCCCAGTATGTGCAGAGGAAGCCGTGTCCCTTGAGAATATCCCCAACATCTCCTATTTGCACAGATGTAACCTCAGAAATTCACTGTCAAGTCTGAACAGCTGAACAGTTTCCATTCTGCAGTTAGTGCGTATTCCCAATATCGACCTCTTTGAGGATTCTGGTGGGTTCAGCGAGATGTCGAAAGCTTTTCCTTTCAATCTCCTGTTTACCCTATAAAAGACTGAAGCTGCAGCTGCTGCGGATAGGCAGTCGGTCTTGCACTTCCCTCATTCATTCTATGTAAACCGTCCAATAAAGAATTTTTACTGCCAAAGCAGGTGGCAGCAAATGCCAGATCCTGGCTGATTACTGAATAAGAGACATTAGGAAATCCCAAGCTTCTTGGATTGAGGGATAGGATGGGGATCCCAGAAACAGGAAAGGGTCAACCATTTCGTAGTGTTGAGAAGAAAACAGATGGGTTCATGAAGTTCTCAAGAGCTGACCACCATTCAAAGTGTTTCTTGACAAGACAACTAGGCAACTTAGTACAGCCTTACTGAATTACATGACTTAAGGTATCCACCTCCCAATAACACCTCTTGAATTTTGCTGGCACAATTGGCTTCAGGGTTGACGGAAGTTAGTAGGAATCGACAAATTCACTTTCCTGCCATAGATTCGTCGTCAACAAGTATTTTCTGTGTCATCTCTTCTTCCTTTTGAGCAGATCCAGGCTAGGGAAGGGAAGAGGAATCTCATGTATACTACTTCTCGAATTTCTAGACGTAACTTTCAGATGCTCAAGCTCCGGTTGTGGATATAGGGTGAGCAGGGTGAGAAGAGAAAGGTCCTAGCTGCTCGAATCACATTTTTATTGCTGAGTTATTTCTAAGCTTTTCTGGTCATGGCATTTTTTAAACTTGACAAGTCCAGAAGCTTAAAGCACTTTTTGACATTTTAATGCATGGAAAATAAGCCGATGCATTAGCTAAGCGAAGACCTCATATTCCAAAGCAGCACATACCACAAAACCAGCTTTTGAGGATTACATGTCCTGCTTGAGCATTTCAAGGAAGTATCTACTAGATACAAATATCTATGGAGATTCTCAATTGCCCAGGTCACGACTGTCCCAAAGATGTTTTTCCAAAAGGCAACTGGACTTTTTTTTTTCTTTGAAAAATGTTTCATTTGTCATCCAAGAAGCTTCTCCAGCAGCAGCTTTCAGGATGAGAAGCGAAATGTTTTCAAAGAAAAAAAATCTAAGAAAGTCCGATTGCCTTTCAAAAAAAAGCACCTTCGGGACTACTAGATACAAGGTGAACAAGGCATCGGCCCAGCCTTACCTCTTTCTAAGATGATTGTAAGAAACAGATCATGTCTTCTCTCTGTTAGTAGCTAAATCGGCTGGTTCTAACAGAATTAAGTGCTAACTGGCAATAGCTGGATGTAAACTTCCTGTAATTTCGCATACTACTATCACGTAATTCATTAATGAAAGGGAAGAGAAGGAAATGTGGGGTGAGAAAAATAGCTTATGATGCAACTGAAATTAAGAAATTGCCCTTCCTTGAATGTTTCACTATGGAGTCTTCCCCAGAGGAAGAGACAATGTGGGGAACCAGAATAGCTTTTAGGCAAATGAAGGCAGGAAAACGTTTTATGTCTTTGTGATATTTTTAGGAGGGAAAAACCTTGCTGAGTTCCCAAACTTCTGACTCTATCACAGTGTTTCCTAACCTTATGAACTTGTAGATGTGTTTGACTCTTAGAATTCTCCAGCCAGCCATGCTGGCTGAGGAATTTGGGGAGTTGAAAACCAGAGATCTTAAAGTTGCCAAATTTAGGAAATCCTGTACTAGTAAATGACAGGGCACAAGATTTTCAACAAAATGACAGGCAAAAACACCCCTTTATGTAGAAAAAAAACAAGACAAATCGTTTGGTGACCAAGTTGAAAACATGTATCATCCATAATTTTCAATCATTAAGCAAGTGCTTCTGAAGACTGAAGGCAGATTTGAAGTGGAGAAGAATGTGATAGGAGATTCTTGTTCACTTTGATACAATTCTTACATAATTTTGTATATAACACTGAAGTCAGGAGTGCTTTAACCTGTTCCTTCCTTTTATCAGCTGCAGTTTCCTCCTGTAGCATGTTTTAAATTTCAAACAATTGTGCAACCGGATGCATTAGTGAAGAGCCTCTTCCTCCCTTCTTTTCTGGTTCTTTCTATACTGGCTTTCTAGTCCCTCTGGAGTTAGATCTGGTTGCTAAAATATCAAAGAAATGCACGAAGAATATAAAATAATGTTTGGAAATCCAGCTTTCTCCAGGTCTTAATTTAAGCCATGCAACCACTTTTCTCACTCTTTGACAAATACTTTACTAACCAAGTATACATATGCTTAGATTCTAATACAGGTAGCCCTTGAGTTATGACCACAATTGAGCCCAAAATTTCTGTTGCTAAGCAAAACATTTGTTAAGCAAGTTTTGCCCTATTTTACAAATTTTCTTGCTGCAGTTGTTAAGTGAATCACTGAAGTTGTCAAGTTAGTAACAGGGTTAAGTGAATCTGGCTTCTTCATTGATATTGCTTGTCAGGCGGTTGCAAAAGGTGATTGCATGACCCTAGGACACTGCAACCGCCATAAATATGAGTCAGTTGCTAAGCACCTGAATTTTGATTGTGTGATCATGGGATGTTGCAACTGTCCTAAGTATGAAAAACTGTCAGTCACTTATTTCAATGCCACTGTAATTTCAAAGTCACTAAACGAGCTGTTGTAAGTCGAGGACTACCTGTAACCTATTTTCAAGATTGCTCACTAATTTGATGGCAAGAACATACGCCAATATATGAGTTACTATCCATATTTCATCCCATAGACTTGTTCTACCTATATATCCAACTGCATAGATCCAACCCGTCTCTTTTCCAGGGATCTCTCCTGGAACAGCCTTTCCCAACTTGGGCACCCTCCAGAGATATAGGCCTTCAGCTCCCAGTATTTGTCTATTAGTGTGTCAATTGCTAAGAGTTCTGGAAGCTAAGGTTCTGTGAAGATGCGGAAGGCTGATCTAATACCTAAGTATCCCCATCAACAAGTTGAATCCATTATGGATACCTTCCGAGAGACCCCTGTTAACATTTCAAAAACAAGTAGAACCTCAAATTAGAATTGGACAGGCATACTATGCTATCTCCTAAAATTTAAATATGGTGCCAGAAGAGGAGTTTTCCAGATTAATTAAAATGTTGAGTGAGGGGATTTTAAGAATTCAGATTCTGGGTGAAGGATTCCCTCTGAGGTACAAATGTATTATAGGGAATTTCAGAACTGTGATTATTATAATTTTTTAAAAAGGAATTTATCCCTTCTATTAGCCCCTGCTAGCTCAAATGTGAAATTCTGCTACCAGATGTCCTTGCATGACATCATTGCTGACATCAAATATATTTTCTTTAAAGTAGTTTTTGTATAACTATTTTCTTGGAAGGGGATGTTCTGTAATCAAGACTGGATTTCTTGGAGCTACAACGATAACTTTGTCTGAGGATGCTTGAAATCCATTTAGCAATTCTCATCAGGCAATTACCCTCCTCTTTGCTTGAGCATTAGTCTACCTCTTTAAAATATGAGGCAGAGTATAAGGCTGCTCCTTTCATCACAATTACTCAGTGGAAAAAGCTTCATTGGTGAAGAACCACAATCACAATGCTATGAAGCAACTGCCCCATTAAAGGCAATGTTTAATATTATCCATTTGTACATGTCCCTAGGTTTTATTAGCAGCCTCGCCCAGTTTATAAAAAAACAGTGTATGTGTGAGTGTGCATGTCTGTGTCTCTCACACAGGTATACAATTTAACTGAAAGTTCCAGTGGCCTATTATTAATATATTAGTATCACTGAAAAAGTTTTATATTCTCAAGGAGGTAGACATTTTTTAAAAATGATTGAAAAGTTGAACTGCATTAATTAATCCTAGTTTATATGATTCTACATCATGTGGTTAATGATTTTCAACCCATCATTTAAACATTCAAATTGGATGACAACTCTGGAAGTCTTACCCAAACTAACAAGGTCCTGGAACTTTAAGTAATTCATCTCTGAGTCCTTGTGTGTATTCATCCCTAATGTTTAACCCACATGTTTGTTTCCCACAGCATTCTTCAACTAGTTTTTTTTTTAAATAAGTACTTGCAGTACTCAATTCTTCTTTTTTTTTTAAAAAAAAAAGCCAGTCAAAGCTTTGCACTCATCTGTAAAAAAATACAAAACCCATTAAATTCAGGAAAAAGTTCTTTAGGGAATATTCTAGGCAGCAATCTTCAGCTTGTTTCAACGCATGCTCTGAGAGATGCCTTTGCTTTTTGGGAAGCTGTATATGGTATGACCTAAACAGAAAGGAATGCCATTCCAAACATTCCTGTACAAATTAAACCAACTTGTCTCTTTTACTTTTCAAACTTGCCTTTTTTTAAACATAATTATCACAAACTTATAAAATTTCTCAAAGCCCTCCTACTAAAAGCAGCTAAGCAGTAAAAAGACATTTGCTGCTGTGTTCAAACATTTCCCATTTAATTCTACATATTAAAATAAAGCAGTTTGGCTCCGAAACCAATCCTCTCTCTTTATGGGGTGGGGTGTAGGAAGAGCACTTTGCTGGCTTCATCTGCTATAGGGATCCTCTTCTCTCCATTTCATACATTTCTACACACATACATGCAGTGAGGTATCCCACCATTTGAGAACTTCTATCCAAACAACTCTTAATTCTTGAAACCATGAGACAAAAGACAGAATCTTAAAAAAAAAAGGATGACAGATATCTCAATTAAACCAATTCCTACTAAATTCCAAAGATTTTCAGTCTTCAATATTAATTTTAAAAAACTGTGGATGCTAAAACAAAAAGCAAAGCTACGCAAGGAGCATGGTCTCTATTCATAAATAGAAATCACCCTGTCCCATTAAAGTTAGCTTTGTTCCAATGCTACTGGGAACAGAGGTGGGTGGACTCCCAAATGGCGGTTCTTGGTTTACAGAACATGAGATACAGATGCCCAGCTCCAGAATGTGAACCCAGCAAAGGGAAGGTAAACTGAAAACCTGAATGACGTCATCTACTCGCCCTAGATCAATCTCAGAAGCAACTACTGTCTGCAAACATGAGAGCTTCCTACATCGGTCTGTGCTAATAACTCCTGCACAAAATTTAACATCCTTGTTACAGGAGAACAAAAGAGCTCATGGCAACAGCCGACTCCTCCCGTGGTTCCCATTTAATGGATCCATACGCTCTCCCTCCAACAGAATACAGAATACTAAAAAACTAGGAAGGTATGTAATAACTGGGACAGATTTTGCTCTGGACCGATCCTCACAAGCCCAGCAATGCTAGGAACAATAAGGACCCTTTGTTGTTCTTTGGTATATTACTATGTTGGACAATGAGAAGCCTCCTGCTTGCTTACCCTCATGGTTATCCTGATAATATGCCAATTCTGACAAACTGTTGCCCCCCCCAAAAAAAAACCCTTGCCCTGCTTCCCCCCAAAAGCATTCTGTGCATATATTTCATATAACCCATTTTTTTCTGTCCTCTCTAGCTTGTATGTATGGCATCTCCTGTTTCTAACTCTGATATACAGCAGCAGCCTTCCATTTGACAAATCGACTTCACATCCCAAAAAATGTACTTCTAAAAGGAGAGGAGTGTAAGTATTGATTGGAGACCCATGGCAAATTGTAGCCAAGTTCACATTAGACCGAAGATTCAATGGCTGTGCCATATATCATACAAGCTGAAATACTACATTCTGACCTAGTATACATTGTGTATAGAATGGATTGTCTTCCCCCATTTCAGATTCCACTGATTTCTGAAATTTGCATTTATTAATCTGTCCAGCATTGATGAACTTTTATGGATATGTAATGCTTTTCTTGTCAATAAAAATAAGCTTGCCATCATTTTCCTTCCAGAATCTACATGCTTCTTCATATAAAATGTTGTGTTTCATTTCTATCTCTTCTTTCTCTAAAGTTCAGAGCTATTTGCAACAATTCACAATGTTTCACAAAATAATTCTTCTACAAAAATACACCCGTCTCTAAATATCAACACCAACTTGCTTTAAGTTTAAATTCATCCAATTTAAAGGTGACCTTTAACGAAGAGAAATTCCATAACTGAGGAACAGCTATTGTAAACAATCACCTACCAATTTGTTCTCTTCTTTCTTTCTGGTTAACGTTGAAAGAGTTGAGAAGAAATCTCAGTGCTTTTTTTTAAAAAAAACCACTTTTTCTACTTTTAAACTAAGCACACAGCCAACAGATCCTCTTTCTTTGGACACTAGCGTATTTTATTTTATTTGCATCCTTATTTTTAATTTTTTTACAAATATCTCAAGGGTGTGAACGTATGCCTTCTTCCTCCTATTTTCCCCACAACAAGCACTGTAAGGTGAATTGGGCTGAGAGAGTATGACTGG